ATCGCGTTCGTTTAACCCCGACGGGGGGGGCGGCTAATTTTTATCGAACTCTCTCTTCTTCCTCCTCCGAGATTCCTTCTAATGAAACCCTTCCCCGTTGCGAATGCACGAGCTTCCCCGCTGTTTTTCTTTCCTTAAATTCGTTCTATTTGCATTTGGAACGGGAGAGGAGGCCAAAGTACCGGTGGAAAACGGTTTCCTTTGATCTCATCCCCTCCAATCCCTCCCCCCCGTAATAGAATTAAGAGCGCGACAGCGATATTAAAATTTTGTTTCGAGAGAGGAACTTGGCGATGCCTCGTCTCGAGTTTCCGCAACAATATGAAAGAAATTCACTAAGAAGTTACTAAGAGGGAACGAAGAAAGAGAAGAGCTCACGAGAAAGAGAGAGAGGGGGGCGGAACGAGGAAGGGATCGTTGATTCGAGCGCGGGGATAGAAAGAAAAAATCACTGGATAATTGCGATAATTGAAAATTGCGAGCCGTGGTCGATGTAATACGACCGAAAATACAACCTGCTTAATTAATTAATATTAATTTTCGAAATTAAGCGACCGAGCCAATTTCTGTACTTTCGAAAGTCAGTCCGGAAAGTCCGGCTCATTCGTTTGTTGAAAATTTATTTATTATTGTACGCGCGAGTTGCGAAAGCCGAAACCAATGAATGTGCCGTAATCGTGTGTTTACAACTACGTTGTAATGTGATTAACAAGCGTGCAAAGATTAATTTTTGGAACCGCGTTGACGAACGAATGGAAAATAGGAAAAAATTGTCGGGGGGAAGAAAAAAAAAAAAAAATCCGTGTAGCGCCATCGAACGTCCCTGTGAAGGTACGTCCGCGTAATGAAACGTTTATCGAAGAAGACCCGCGTCCAGTCTGAAAAACACGAGGATGCTCGTTACGTTGAAACGTAAATCGCGATCAGATTCGCTGGAATCCCTCGTAAACGAGTTACTTGATCCGGAACAGCCGGTGTTCCAGAGAGGAAGCTCGAAAAACTTCAAATTGAAAACGAAACTTTGTGTCGCGGTAAAGTATCTTCGATCGGGTGACGGTTTATTGACGAAACATATTCTATGCGTATATCCCGGATAGATTTAAGTTCAAAGGTTATTCAACGCCCTCTGTATCTCTATATAAGCCGCGGCTTAATCATAATCTTTTATACGAAGATTAAATTTTATTCTCACCGTTACACCGGGTATAATATCGAGGTTTAAACGAGATTTTAAAAAACGATTCGAGTGAATAATTATCGTTTCAGACTCATTAGGGACCGGTTGGTTATTTTTAATCGTCAGTCTCTCTACAGGAGCCAGCCCTTCCACCATTCTCTTTTTCCCCTTCGTTTTTTTCCCTACTCGCGAATTCCTTCGTCATTACAGACGTTACCACGTTATCGCCGACAAGTTAAAATAATTTACGAGTTTGTTGAAGCACGCAAATCATTCGAGGATATCAACGGATATCTGGCTGCTGCTCCGGTAATCGATAGAAACCGCTATTAGTCGTACAAGCGTTGCTCGTAATCGCGACTGTTGGAGAATGAATGCGAATTTTTTTCGCTTCTCTCCTTATACTTCCCTCCCCCTTTTTCTTCAATTTTTGATTACACCGCGCGATTCCATTGCACGCCATTGGACCAACAACCGCGATTACAATTATCGTCCTCGGTTCGCCAAAGTTTCCGCCGCCGTTACCAACGAACGAGAGTTTCCGCCATCTTGGTGCCGCGGTTTTCAACGCGGTTCTCCACGCGGTGCTTCACAGTTCGAAACAATTCATCCCGACATACGCACCAGCGGAGGGTGTACATTTTTTTTCGAGAGGCAAAAAAAAAAAAAAGAAAAAGAAAAAAAAATAAAAGTACAGCAGCGAGTCGGATTATCTAAGGGATCAATCCAGCCGCGTTTGTGTATCATCGCGAAGCTTTTCAGCGGTCGGACAATGGTTGGAATTTTTGCGGACATTTTTCACGATTACTTCCTACGCCATATTGTGCCTAGGATCGCGCGTCATCGACGAATTACAACAGGATCGGAACGCATCGCTCTACCGTCGATTAAATTCCGTTCGTAGCTTTGCTCTTCTCCCGTTTCTTCCTTTTTTTTCCCCCCCCCCCTTCTCTTTTTGTCTTTTTACTCTTCCCTTGTTGCCGTTATACACGAGAGAGAGAGAGAGATCGGATGGAATCGAGGGCTCAGGACTAGAGGTTATTTTTCTTTTTTTATTTTTTCTTCTTTTTTTTCTTTTTTTTTTTTTCGTTAAAAAACATAAACCAGAGAATAACTATCTTTCCATGTACCGTATGCCAATGATTTTTTTTCACCTCGCGGCGCGAAACCCGGGATTTCGCGGGATGGGAGGGGGAGAGAGAGGATGAATAAAATCGCTGGTCACGGTTTCCAGGAAGTTGGGCGTTCGACTGCAATGGATCATTCGTCCCACGATCCGCCCTCCATTTTTGCGACGTGTTTTCCTTGCTTCCCCGGCCAGGCTAAATAACTTCCAATCGCGTAACGTGTCGGATGTACTGGGAGAAGAGAATAATCGACCGAATATCGGGTCGATCGCGATTTCCGTCTCCACGAGTTAAGCAATTGTGCATTCTTTTCACACCTGTGAAGAAAATCATACTCGCGTTCGTCGCTTTTCCGTTTGTTCCGCGCGAGCGTTTGTAATAATCGCTCTCCACGCCGATCGCCCAACACTCGAAATTTCACCTTTCGTTCGCGAACGAAGATGAAATTTCGAACACGTCGAAAGGGTCACGTATCCCCCCCGCACAAGTTTCCTTTACGTTACGTTCGTGGGTGGATAGATAACGCGTACGAGATCGGCGATACGCCCATCGAACGGTCGGGGCAAACGATAACGCTATAATTGAATATCCCTCCCCGTTCACCGACCAACCAGTTTTCGATCGAGGAGGATATTCGTTGAACTTTCCGACGCTTTGATCCGAAAGAAACTGTTTTTTCTTTCTTCTCGAAAGACGGATAAATCGTTGGATTTGCCACGCGCGCAGGAAATATTCGCCTATACGTTTCGAACCCCCCTCTTCATTCCGCCCCCTGTATGTATGTAACGACATTAATCAAGGGATTCGCGTAATTTTAATTAAAAACCGCACCCGGGCCGGGTTGGGCCGGGAACGGGCCGTGAAACAAATTTAATTAATTTTTCACCGATTTTCACCGCCTCGATCCTCCCCCACCCCTGGCCCGGCCGCGTCGACGACAATCCCCGGCACTCGTTATTTATCTAGGCGGAAAGGAGTTTCGGCAACGATCGAAACTTCCCGGATTTCTGTATTAACGCGTGAGCACAATCGGGAGCGAACGAACGGTGAATTAGCGGCGAGGCCGGCCCACCGCGAAATTGTTCGCGGTGTCGCGAATCGGTCGGCGCATTATCGCCGCGTCATCGATATTCCTCGCCCCTTCGCTCCTCCTTTTTTATTACGACCGGGTTTCGATAAGCTCACGTATGAAACCGAGGCTCGACGAGGCTTTCCGTTACGAGTTACGCTTTTTATTTTTATATACTTGTTATTTGTTACACATTTTCTTTTATTTTATTATCGGTAGATTTTATTATCACGCGGATTCGCATTTTCCTCTCGTTACACGGGGATGAGACAACGGGGGCAGCGTTCCATCGTTAACGTCGAAGATCGATTCTCGCCATTCTCACCTTTGAGATATTCGTTGCGCGGATAACTCGCGCGAAGAGAGGAGGAGGAGGAATTAAAAATAGGAAAAAAGTTGGAAATTTTCCACGGACGCGCAATTTTTAATCGGCAAACAAGTGTATCGGTCGGCGGAAGTGTTTTCCTGCATCGGTTCTCGGCCGATAATTCGATCGAGGCAGACCTCGCCTCCGTCGCGTAATGCGTATCGCATACGTGCGCCGCTACCTCGCCGAGGGATTAATGATACCATTATTCGAGCGTCATCTCGTCTACGTGGAATCGAAAGGGTGTTTCTGCCGCGGCGCCGCTTCACCGCTCACAAACACCGTCGCGCGCTCAAAAACACTGCCGTTAAAGTAAATAGACAAAGACGAGCGGATCGAAGCCTGTGGCCGCCTTTTCTCCCTCCCCGCGCTTTTTACCTCGCGCCATTTTTCCCCTCCCTCCGTGATGCACGTGGCCCCTCAAACCTGGTCTCTTTCGCGTTCTGTCTCCCAACCCCCTTTTTTTCTCTCCTCCTTTTTTCCTTCTTTCTTCTTTTCTCTTTTTCCCCAACGTGATCCAGCCTCGAAGCGGATTCGAAGTCGGTCAAGCCGCCATATAGTCGAGTCACTTCTCTGGTTTAAAAGCATTTCGGCGGCACCGTGATCGCCGCGAGACGAATGCCAACACATCCGTCAAAAGATATCGCGGTCTCTGGTTGCGCAACGAACTGCGCCAACAACGAACCACTTCATCCTTCGGGGGAGGGCTTCGAGAAGAAGGTTTTTCGACTATTCGAAGGGAGGAGAGAGTGGAGGGAGGGACACGCTCGATACGAAAGCCTTTGCCCCGGTAATTATATGTCTGACGCGATATTGTCGCTGCATATCCTCTTTCTCAATCAATTCTTTTCCCTTTTCCCTACTTTTAAATCAGCTCTTACCCCCTTGATCAAACGATTTTCGCGAGATCGACGAAAGTTGTTTTCAATTTTTGAAATCAATAGTTTCTACGAAGCCACGGTAACGCTGCTTACGTTCATTCGTAGGGAAAAGGGGTGGCACAAGTCGTCGAAATATTGCGAAAGAAGGGAACTCGAAAAGAGGATTGGAAAACACCGGTCGAAATGCTGGATCGTTACGATTTACGGCGAGATAGAAACGTTTGAACTCGTACCCTTTTATCTTATCCCGGCGAAACAGATCACTCCCGACGATGTTCGTAAATCCTCGTACAATCTTCCGCTTCTTACCACCCGGCACGATCGATATTCGTAGATAAAAGAGAAAGAGAGAGCGAGAGAGAGAGAGAGAGAGACTTACCTCCGCAGGCGGTTTGCCAGCCACGCTGACGCACTCGATCACCAATTCCCGGTCCTCGGTCGTGATAAGAAAGTCGCCCTGAAGGATCTTTGGCTTCTGAGGCGGAACCAGCACGCTCAGCTTGGCGAATCTCGAGCGTAACGCCGGCTGGCCGTCGTTCGTCGGCGAGGCTTGACACTGGTAAGTGCCGTCGTCCTCCAATTCGACCGGGTAAATATGCAACGAGAAGTCACCTGGAACACGCGATCAACGTTATTCCCTTCCTATTATTCCACCCGCCTGCCTAACTATTTCCGCGCGTGTTTGTTACGCGCCCATTTGTTTCGTGTAAATCGGGTTTGTTTCCCGCATCTGCACGCGTGAATACAGGCTCGATTATGACCTATGGGCGAAATGGACGACGTCACGTTCATTTCGAGGAGGGGAAACTTTTTCGTTGCATCTCGCGTCTCTTTCTAAAAAAAAAAAAAAGTTAACGAACGCCAAAACGAATTCATCGATATTTCGATGAGATAGAAAACGAGAAGGATTAACTTAATAAACATCATCGTACAAATCTCTCTCGTCCCCCGGACGACGCGAAACAAGTTGGTCTCGTCCACGAATCCACGAGTGTTCGCGGATCGAAATTCCAACTTCTCTCCGTTCGATCGGTCCAACTCCATCCCGGGGAGAATACGTTCGAGAGGGGGAGGGTGAATTTTTAGCCAGGCCAGGTGTCAAACGTACGCTCGGCTTTCGAAAATTTCGGAGGTGGTCGAAATTGAACCGGCAGCCAGGAGATTTTCACTTTATATCGCGAACCGCGTTGGATAGTAGAAAAAGAGAGAGAGAGAGAGAAAGAGAGAGAAAGAGAGAAGCGGCGAGAGAATAGAGGAGCGGAGGTGTGTGCGCTCGGATAGAAAACCATTTACCCTCCCCCCCGTTGATTGAAACTAACGGTTTACGAGCGTCTGCTCGATAGTATCGTGTCGGCTCGTACGTACGAAATTTCTCCGACTGACGCTTTTATTTTGAAATCTCCACATATACGTGTAAGCTGTCAGAAACAACGCGGCGCGCCCGTGCGAATTAGAGCGGCCCGTTCCCGTCAACGAACTCCCATTTC